GCGGGCGTCACGCGTGACGTTCCGGACGCTCCGCCGAGCCGGTGGCCGCGGACCGCGCCTCGAGAGGTCGCGGCGTCTGCCGGCCGCTTCCGCGCGTTTTCCTGTGCGCGACCCGGAGCGCGGAGTTGGAGGCGATCGCCTCGCGCGAGTCTCCTCCCCGCCCCGCCTGTGGCCGACCGCTCGCTGTCAAACTCGCGTTTCCCTCGGCGCCGCGGTCCTGAACTGAAGCCGCGACCCGAGCCCGGTCCGGGCTGCACTGCAGTTCGCTGGCCTCCCCGCTCCGGCAGCGCCCGCATCTGCAGCAGCTGGAGAGGTGATTTTAAAAAATCCCCATAGCTAATCGTTACTGGGGTTTGTGATGGGTGTGACTCTTCCGCTCCCAGTTTACACCTACCCAACTCCTAAGGGCCTCTGTGGATTTTAAAAATGTGAGCTGGGGGCAGGGCCTTGCCAACACGACTATTAAATTAATTGAAACGTGTAACAATCATAACCAAAAAAGAAAACTCTACCACAAGGAAAACAATGAGGAATCACTGACAGAGAAACTAAATAGATATATTTTTCAATAAGATTTCATATCTCTCAATGTCATATGCGCTTTACTTTCTAACATTAGGGTGAAAATGTAATTGCCCTCAAGTGTTAGTTACTCACTAATAACAGTGGGATACCTAAGGTTCTACCACAGCAGATCTGAGTTTTTAAAAAATCTTAAATATGACATATTCCTTCCACTTTGAAGGAATTCAATACCCCATTTTCCTGACATAATATTGGAATTTAGTCTATCTTGTTATTTTTTCCTGTTTTTTTTTGTTTGTTTGTTTGTTTTTAAGTAAGCGTTAGATAATATATAGTATTTGGGGGAAGAGTGAAAGGGACTCTTATTATGTAACCCAGATTAGCCTCTTAATAAGATCTTCCTGCTTCAGCCTTCCTGCCTGCTGGGTTTACAGGCAGGCACAATCACACCAAGCTCAAATCCAGTAAATTGCCTCCAGGAAAGCAAAATTTTACCCTAAATTACCTATGGAATGGTTGGTAACATTTAATCAAGTTTATCTAATTCAACAACCTAAAGCTTTTGAAACTCAATCTGGACTGCCAGGCCTGGTGGCGAAGCCCTATAAGCCTAGCACTCGGGAGGCGGAGGCAGGAGGATCCTTGTGAGTTCAAGACCAGCCTGGGCTACAAAGTAAGCTCAAGGCCAGGCTGAACTGCATAGCGAGACCCTGTCTCAAAAAAAAGAAACTTAATCTGGAATTTCTTAAAAATGTGGAAAAATAGGCTCTCTATTCTAATATCAATAAATGTACATAAATGAAACCTTTAATTTTCATGAGACTACACAATTAAGGTAGTTTGACATAAGATATAATCATAATAACTACAAAATTAAACCTTTGATAAAGAGGATAATTAGATAGCACTGTCCATGTAACTTACAGAGTATAAGGTTTTGTACACTCTATCGTATCTCAAACCTGTGGGCACCACTTCCCAGGCTGTTTGTATTGAAGTTAACACTAGCACTGTAAAGGTAATGACTGGACAGTTCGCATTTCCAATGCTTGGTATTTATAACATGAAGTTAATATTAAATAGGTTCTGTTGTGGGGTTTTTTTGTTTTGTTTTGTTTTTCATAATCCTTTTAACTCTTTTTTTTTTTTTTTTTTGGCATGGGAATTGAACTCAGGACCTCGTGCTTGCCAGGCAGGTGCTGCTTCATGATCCTTTTCATGGCTAAACCTTTTCAGCTGGACACTATCGCTTTAATTTTATGAATTAGTCTTGCAGAAGCCCAAGATTTTTAACAAAATAGAATTGCCACACAAATAGCATTCCTGAAAATCTGCCCATGCTGTCACATGAGCCACATTTCTACTGCCCAGTTTTCCTCACTTTCCCATCAAGCCCCTCAAGGAAACAAACTCGTCCCATATCATTTGATCTCAGAAGCAATTCAATAGCAAAACAAATGCTTGTTTTTCTACTCTTCTTTTGTTGGTAAGCAGTTAAAAGCTGGGACTCTGCGATCAGACTATCTGATTCTGAATCCTAGATAGCCTCTTAATTTGTTATTGCCTAGTACATGTTACTTAATCTCTTTAAACCTCAAATTCCATCTCTGCAAAATGGAGATAATAATAATACCTTTCTTGTAGCATTGTTGGAGGATTATACAAAATAATGCATATAAAGCACTTGACACAGGGTTAAGTAATTCAGTGTTTCTACTTTTAGTATCGACATGGTATGTTTTCTCTTCTGATTTAAACAGCAACACATGTAGGGACATTGGGGTTAGTGTTAAGAACTGATCAGAGTATTTGGTTTCAATACTTAGTGCCCATAACCTTTAAGGCATTAGCGAGTAGAGAGTGATTTATTAGACCCTTTCTGGCTTTGCTTTTCCTTATGAGGTAGTATGAGTCTTTTACTAATAAGTTTTAAAATAGAGCATCATATAAACCATGGACGATGAGATAGAAAACAACAAACCCACAAATAGGCAATGAAGTTATCAACAATATTTATGGAATTCGGGTGGCATATCATATGGCTCCAAGGCTGTGACAGTATCTGTTCTCCTCCTTCACTGTCTCTCACAAGTGCTGTTTGCAGTGTACATGGGAACTCTCTGTAAAGTCACAAACAAAAACTGAAATTTGCCCAAACACATCTGCTCATCTGTAGACTTTGAAGGCGACTTCAATACAATGTACATAAAAATATTACCTTTTTTGGAAAAAAAGCCTTGGAATCAAAATCTGTGTTTTTGGTGGGAGGGAAAAAAGTCACTACCGTATATATAATCTAATTTTACTGATACTAAAATTTCCTTTCTAGAAAAGAAAATAAAAACATTGGACAAGAAAGCTAGACTCGAGTGTAAAGGTTATATTCTATTTTCTAACACCTCCATTATAGTAGCATGCAGGCTCTATAAGGTTTCAGTCCAGAAAGTCATTAAGTGGGAAGATTTTTCTCCTAGTAATTATATGTGGTTAAAAAATTAAATAACATGTTCTCCTAAAGGAAAAGCAAGAGTATTACTTATTCTTGGGAAAATCCCAAAGACTCACAGCAGGATATTAGAACATTTTTTTTTTCTTTTCCAAGGGGCCTAGGAAGAAAACTATTAATAAAATGTTATGCTTAGATGAAATTCTACTGTAACATTCATCATAAATTATATGTGTTTTACTTAAAATGGGTGAAATATAAATAATATACCAGGAAAGAGTTTATAAGGACAATAACAGCACATATTTCTACTCTGAAAGAAATAAAAGGACCAAATAATGTGTGGTGTTATGACACTGACAAGTAGACCATCTATCTGCTCAGCTTCCTAGAAGTGTTTTACTATAACCAGAACAAAATATAGGTATTATTAATACTGACATACTAGAGTGGGACTTCTAAAGTCACTATCCTAGTGTGTTTAGTACCCATCTGGCATAATCTACAGGGTCCCTAAATATAGTCTATGGAAACCACCCTCTGTCTCATACACTCTATAGAGCATGGCCAAACACATCTATTTTTTGATCTATCTCTGACCAAATCAAACTGTTTTTGAAAATCCTTTTTGAACCTATATTTGCTACAAGAAATATAAAATTCTTATCCTAGGATTCAGTGTGCTCTTGATCTCACATAGCTTCGTTTAGCTTTCATATCTTCCTAGTTTCTGATTTTCTTTTCCAAGGATAATACTCACTGGTCTCCAGTGAAAATTCTAAAACTTATTTTTTTCTCTTGGACTATCCAAATCACCATTCCTGCTTACCTGCATTCCCTACAAAAATTCTACTCCAAAAATCTCAGCCAGAAACAACTTTCCCTTTCTCTGGGTGGCTCTAATTTGCACCTCCCATAACTGCAATTTCAGTCTCTTACATGTTGTCACGGTTTCTGAATCTTTCGTTTCCCTTAATCTGTTTGTAAGATACTAAATATTCTCTTATTCTGGGAATGTTGTACTCACTGTTCCTAGGCTTAGTTCTCTTCCTGACAGCGGCAGGGCTCCTCCCCTCATTCACGTAGGTTTCTGCTTAGGTGTCACCTACAAAAAACTCTTTCCTGATTCCTGTACTAAGGTATCCTCTTGGTCCATTCTCCTTAACTTGTTATATTTGCTGATTGCTTGCTTTCTTCATCAGAAGGTAAACATCACAGAATCAGAAACTTAACTGTTGATTCTATTTACTTCTGTATGCGAAGCACCTACATCTATGCCTTACTCATTGTAATATTCTCTAAATGGATGAATGCAGGGGTGGAATAAATATCAATTTCAGAGACATTATATTACAGACTATCTATAACTTTAACCAATAACTGAGCATAAAGGCATAAGAATTTCCTCAGGTGTTCTTGAAAGATACTTTCATAAAAATGCATGCATTACTTAGAATGCATTAAAAGTCTAATTATAGGACTTGTACCACACTTTTAAAGATAATGTTTAGAATGAGCTCCAAATGTGTTCATAAAAAATGACTCCATACTTTCAAAGCCATTTTATTTAAGTACCAATGATACTTTATTACAATGATAAGACTCAGATTTCACTTTTGGTCATTTCCCAGAGTTTTATTATATTAAATCATGTATCTCGGTGATATTCTTCCTCTTAGACCCTAAAAGTCTTTTGGGGTAGTGATTTAAATTTTAAAATTTATAAAAGCAGTTATCAATCCTAAAATCACACTTGCAGTGTATAGATCCCTAAGTCGGGATTGCTTTCTGTGTGTGTGTATCTGTGTGCTGGTAAGATTTAGTTACATTCCATTCTGCCATCTCAATAATATTTAAATCCCAGAAGCTTATCTTTGCATACAAAATCAATACATTTCTATGAGTATGTAATTTAGTAAATGAGTTCTTATCAATCCTTTGAGTACCTGTCTGTACTTATTATTGTATTACCATGCAAGAACTGTGAGACATGATCTCTTCACTTGCAGAGTCCTTTATCACTGAGATGAGATCACACCTAAACCATCTGAAGTCTTCATTCAAATGCAGAATGACACCTAAGGCGGGACATTTTAAGCAGAGGAGTAACACACATAAATGCATGAGGTCACTTAAGGATAAGTATCTCAGTTTAGCTGAATGTGGGTGTGACATATAGGAGTGGCAAGAAATTATCTTGCAAGTAAGAAGGGACCAATAATGAAAAGACGTGTGATAGGCAATAAAATCTGGGCCTGAGCCTTCAGGCGGGGTCACTGGAAGGATTTAAGCAAGAAACTAGTGTGATTACATTTGCTGTTTTGAAGTTTATCTCTAGCAGT